TGTGGTCGAAGCAGCGAATTTAATTCGCTCCGAGGCCTCGAAGTCGGCGACCGGCAGATCCGGGCTGGGAACGCAGGCCACGGGGCAGCGCAGGCTATCGGGACGATGAGATGAGGCCCGGTTTTGGTGGCCCCCGGCTAGTCCCGCCGGGCCGACAGTGTGGATGGACGGGGATAGGGGCGAATGACCGAGAAAAGGTAGGAAAACGTAGGCAAGCAGGACGCCAGAAACGAGGCCGGTGGCGTGAGCATAGTTGTCGATCCAGGGCATCAAACCGAGGCCAAGGAGACCGATCATGGGGCCGATCAGCTTGATCAGACCCAACCAGGGGTGCACCATGAGACGCCAGTTCTGCAGGAACTCAACGAGCACCACTCCCAACAGAGCGAACAGACTGCCGGTCGGACCAGTCTCGACCTAACACGAGATGGGAACACCATGTTGGGCAATGTTGTTTTAAGTGCATGTGTGCATTGCGCACGTGTTAATGTTCGTGTATGCATGTTTATGTTTGGTTGGAAGGACTATGCATGCTTGGGCGTGTGTATGCTTGTGTGAAAAGCCAAGGAATCAAGTCAAAAGTCCCGGGAAATAGTGAACAAGGGATAAGTAAGTGAAGGATAAGGGCAATTTGTGGGTTTCATTAAAGATAATTTTGTAGATACGAAGATAAACTGGGTTTCGATGAATCTCCTGAAATAACATTGTTAATTGGATGTATGAAAGTGCATGAAGAAGAGCTTCGTAGGTCGATCTCACCAGATGAGGACGGATGAAACTCGTTGTACTGCAGCCGGTTGGATTTTATACGACGTTTAGGTTGACGCAGTCCACGAGACCTCCCTCGTTTCGGGTGAAAACGGGCTGAGCTTTCGTGCATCATCAAAGCTGGGTCTCATTCTTGTAAAAGTATCATGTTGACGCAAGTACAAGAAGACTATCCGGCTTTATCCTTCCTCTCATATAGACTCAATAAAGCAAAATAAAATTAAATGCCGAACACATGGTAGAAACTGGACAGGTAATAGAATGGTCTCGAACTAATATGTTTGCTCATTATTGTACGTCTATGGTTTTAAGAAAGATAAGAGGCTAGTGAAATTAATAGCTTAGGAAATATGTTGAATGTGAAGAACGATGGTAGAAAGTTGAGTAGAAACTACTTATGTTTGAGATTGAAGAGATTGAAGGAGAGATAAGCTTTTGAGCCACCATCCAAAAGAAAGCGATTCAACTTGTTTGCTCGGTCATCGTTCTAACTTCACTCACACTCGTCCATGTTAGATTAAGCTCATCAACCAAACTCGACGTGCCAGATTACGCAGTCACAGTAATGTCTTTCCTTGAGAGGTTAAACGTTAATGACCTTAGACTGAGAGCTAAGGACAAGTGGTTTCGTAACTTGATTCACATGCTTACAAGCTCATATCTCATAATCTCAACCATACTTGCTTACGGACTTACGCAATCTCGGTCAGGGCTTTTCTTGGGTCATTAGACCTTGATGATCAGAGCTTGAAATGAGCCTTTTGATAAATCTGATTTCGGACCTGTAGTGCGTATAGACGCGAACACACACACATACACACACACTTGAGCAAAGTAGCAGGACCATTATGAAATACAATTAGCCAAACCACTCTATATCTATCTATTTATCTAGGTTTTTAATTTTCTTTTGGCTTAATTAAGTCTATATAAGAGGAAATATAGAGCCGAATAGTCTTCTTGCCCTTGTGTTAATGTGAGACTTTTACAGGAATGGCACCCCAGTTCTGATGATTTCCATCATATGATGGACGAAAGCTCAGCCCGTTTTCACCAGAAACGAGGGAGGTCTCGTGGACTGCGTCAGCCTGAACGTCGTACAAAAGCCAAACCGCTGCAGTACAACGGGATTCATCCGTCCTCTTTTAGTGAGACCGACCTAAGAATCTCTTCTTCATGCACTTTCATACGAAATGAAAGTCTCTTCAATAATGATTATCAAGAGATTCCTCGAAATCCAGCTTTTCTTAGTATTAGTAAATGTCAAACTTAGATAAAATTTTATCCCGAACATGAATACCCTCAGAGCTGATTTATTGTAGCATGAATTTCATTTCGCGAGAAAGGTTGACTGGAAGGAATTCTAGAAATGGTCTCACCAAAAACCGAAGGAGGATTGTCTTGAAGGAATCAAGACTGTTGTATGCGACTCTGATGAACCAACGCTAGACTTTGGTCTGTACCGTCATGACACACATCGTCATAGCGAGAAACCATACTTTGCAAAAGAACACATGAAATATAATAAGCAAAAAATAAAAAGGTGGCCAGTGCAATCGCATATTTCTTATCTTCTTGCCTTATTGTATTCGCTGCATTTTTAGTAAAGTACGATTTCTTGCTCTGACGATGTCTGCCAAAATAGTACAGACGAAAGCTTAGCACGGGTTCATCGTAGTCGCAGGAAAGTGAGCTAATGACATCTTCGTAAAATCAAATAGATTTTACCTCTTTAAGTCAATCCTCATTAGGTTTCCGATGGGACATATCATGTAACAAAAAATTACTAAGCAATTCTTCCCAACCCACTTTTTATTCATACAGCGTTGCCTTGACCTCGTCATTGCGTCTGAGAAACTCCAAGGAACGTATCCAGTACTGGGTGCTCTGCCATTGCCGTCATTTGCCCGTATAGCGTAGGACCGTTGACTGGGTACTTCACCAAAAGTTTCGGCAGCATTGTCAGTAAGATGTGTCGTCCTCCATGTTAAGAATGACTAATTTAGCTGACGACACCGGCGATATGGACAAATACATACAAAGACAACGGTCAGAGAATAGAAGAGCACATGATTACGACAGCAGAGGATAAGTTCCTCGAGTTATCTCTGAAAATAAAATGGACGAAATCCAGTAGATTAAAGGCAGACTTCACGACTGACTACATGGCCTTGAAGTATCTGAATCGCCTTGTCAGGAGGCATTTTGTGATGGGATATCAACGAAACTTGCCAAGATAAGCCATCTATATGGCATTTTTCAGATGAATATAAGAAAATCGTAGATTTTAAGGTTGTCTGAAGGATGAATTCACCTGGTACGGCAAAAAGATCCCGGAGACTAGATTGGCTAGGCAACCAGATAGAAGGTAAATAATAGAAATTCGATGCCAACCAATCATCTTCTCAAGGTCGCGCATGAAAATAAACTGAATGAGTAGCGTGATTAAAAGATGAAGTATGCTAGTAGATTTTGAAGATGGCGGAGGTGAAGATTGTGACGGTGGCGGCGACGGTGTTGGAGGGGGTGGGGCAGAATAAGAAATGGGGCAGAGGGACAGAACAAAGGGAAGAGGAATGATGGGGATTATTAGTGGCATACAAATTTGCTTCATAAAACTAGATGGTTATCTGGGCGGAGCTAAGCCGCAGTATAATACGATGATATAAATGCCTGATGCAAAATAAAGAAGTATAAACTAGGCCAGATATGACTTCGATAGTCATAATATCATCCACTAACTAAAGTAACTTTCAGCTTTCTAACCTCTTACCTGTTTGAATGCTGCAAGTATACAAACATTGATGCCATATTGGCATCAGCTCAAAGGGGCATTAGAGCAGAGTTGGAATTGCCGAAATCAGATCTGCACAAGACGTCCGTGCTTAACTGGGAAATAGGATAATAGGGCGTATAGAGGTTGAATTCGTTAAAGACAACGCCGGTTAAAAATAAAAAAGCAGAGTTAGTTGGTGATAGCAATTTGTTCTGCATGCATATAAAGAATTGAGCAGGCCGGTATGCCTAAAAAAGCGTACAGGCCCGGCGATTCCTCTGCGATGGCAGCCAGATGTAGGACGCGACCGGAAGAAGAGCTGGCTTGGCCAAAGATGTTCTATATTAATCCAACCTCTTAACATACTTCCGCCTCGAGTAATAAATAAGAGTATTTTGGGTGGCAAGTTCTTATTCAAGTAATGAGAATAAGTCTAAGCATCGTTCTAATTAATATAAACAAATAAAAAAATTGAATAAACAATTATTATACAGCAACATACCTCAAACAAGCTTCAAAAATAGTTTTTTTTACTAGGATGCCATCCTCCTAAAATCCAGAAACTGGTCATGAACACTTCTTTAAAGATACAAATTATAAAAAGAAGAGGTTTAAAGTAGGCCTACCCGGCGTGAAGGAAGAGTGATGTAAAAACCCGATAGAACTGGTCAGGGTACTCGTCATCTAAGAATGGAGCCATCCCACAAACACGGTTAAGACACTTCACCTGAAAGATAATGGTATTAGCTAATGGCTAAAGGAAGAAGAGAAAACTTGAACAGAATATGAATTTTACACAAATATAAAACAAATAAAAATAATAAAAATAGATTTATCACCGTGCCCTACATTACTTCGATTTGGATGTAAAGTCCAATTACCCCGTACTGTTCCATGCTTTACTATCGGTCATGTGACGTATTGCATCCGAGCGAGGCAACAAGAATAGATACAAACTAGCTCAAGAAGTGACCAGCCAAAAGCCTAGCTACAGCTTATTACCTAATTTTGTTGACTCACTTTTGTTTACAAGCTTACAAATGAACAAAGTAGAATAGGATGTGACCTAGCATCAGTTTGGTTTCTGCATAGCCTGTGGTGGGATCATGTGGTATTAAAGCGTATTATAGTGTGGTTGTACGTGCGCAATTAGATGCTAGAGCCATAAGTAGAATATAAGAAAGTAGGGCCCATTTAGAGGAAGTTCTTAGTTTAATTCTTTCAATTAAAGGCGCTAGAATTTTTGTCGATCTCTATTGATGTCCTAATCTTCCGCTTAAAAGAAAATTCTTCATAACCAGCAAAACATTGGGTTTCAAACTAGTCTATCCGCTGTCCTCTAGTAGCCACATGTCCAGCCAATTGAGGCTTCTGGACCCAAACGTCTTGAAATGCGCTTTTACATTCAGGAAGCCCCTTAAATCTTAGTCGGAAGATTTGCCTTATGTAGATGCCATCAAATGAATACAAAATCTTTGTAACCCGGTCTGGAAAGAGGATCTGGGTGTTCATGAAACGAAAGCCTACCCGATGATAATGCCAATTTCTTTTCACTTAATCGCATAATCCCATTACCTAATCAGTCTTTCCATTCGTCTCGAATGATTAAATACGGTAATCTCAGCAACAAAGTAGAGCTATGAAGAGAAGTTGGGTCTCGAGGAATCCCTTAAGAAAATGCCTTTTATTTCCTTGAAGAAAAAAGATGGGAGTCGTAAATTGGCATCATTGGAAACGGAAGGAGGATTGCTTTGCAATTATGACTTCAGGATTGTGCAAAACAGACCTCGAATCACCTTTCTGAGACTTTGATGAATCCATGTCGAGTTTTTGCCTTTCATGTGACAGGCATTGCCAGAATCAGAAAGCAGAACCTATATAAAATACACCAAAGCACTAAACTAAGAAAAG